TTGAAGCGCTTCGCCGTGCCATCGAAGGCGAGGAGTTTGGTGGCCTGGCTGGCCCAGCGTCCCAAGTTGCTCTTGGGGATGCCAGTCGCCGCCTCGACGTCTCGAGTTGATGCTGACTGCAGCGCTCTCAGCATGGCGCGCTTCACAGCCTGGGTGTAGCGACGTCTCGGCTTCTTCTGGGGACTGATCTTGCTCCGGCACTTTGGTGGCATTCTTGGAAGTGACTGGACGTGTCGTCGTCACCTCCGAGCGCCCGCCAATTTTAAATGTTTTCGCGGCAAACAAAAATTCCGCCAATCATCATGCATTATTTGCTTATTTGAATCTTATTGGTCAATTTTTTCCACCCTGTTGAAAACTTCGGCTGTCCCTTAAAATCCGTCGTTGGTTGTATGCTTTACACTACGTAGAGTTCCAATTTAAGAGACATATTTTGGACCGGTACTGAGGAATGGGTTTCGACTTCTGAAAACTGATACTTCAATAGGAAACACAGGTCTTTCCAGGAAGCACTGAAACATCTATTTTCACAGTATCTATCACGTCCTAATATCCCACTTTCCAAGCAAAACACCTCAAAAGTACTAGTAGGGGACAATTGAAGTGACATATTTTAAGCTTGATCGTGATCCATGATACATTTTTTGTGGTTAGGGTATAATATTATGTCAGGTACATACATATTCAACCTCAACGGGCTACGTATTTATATAGATAGCCAATTGATCAATTGATTTACATAATACACATGGGATCAAGGAGAGTATTAATATAAAAAGGTATTGTAAAACAAATGTCAAGGTGGGTGTTTGGCTGAATGTCCCTTAAATTGTCCCATGTCGCGTAAATTGGAATTCTACGTCTTAGGTTAGAATTTACCGTTGGAGATGCTCTTCCTGTTATTAATAGTTGGTTGATCCGATGGCATAGTAGACATTTGGGACGTGAGATGATTATTTATGCTTTTTTCGTTGAAAGCACACGTTGAGTCGAATTCCTAGCCACCAAACATTGTACGGTATAGTACATACAGACTACTACTGTAGTACCAAGTAGGACAGTACAGTAGTACAGTAGGCCCAATGAGACAAGGACAATAGTACAGTGTACGACATTTTTCAAAGCACACGTTGTTCACTTTGCTGATTAGAGAGCTGCCCACCACTCGTTTAGGCATTGATATGTTTGAGCTCAAGCTATTACATCATATTGGTAGTAAATCTATGACAAATCCCTAGTCTATCCTTACTTAGATAAGCACTACTGTAAGGTTAGGAAAAACAGGAGTTCATTGAGGTACAGTACATGTGTACACAAAAGTCTGCTCACACGTTCATATTACATTGTACGACCACGCAGAAATTCATCTCGACAGTTGATTCGTTTCAATGTACGTGTACGATCTGGTTTACATAAATGTACCATTACACTTGACATTGTATACTAGTACATTCGTACGTGTTGTACGGAATCCATCCACGGACGTTCCGGCGTAGTGTGAATTCATGTTCCGCTGTAACTGGGTTGGATCCTACTAGAATGAATTTCCCCGACTTTTGTGTGTGTATACTACTAGAAACGTTTAGCTGCTCCAAGACTGACTTCACTTTCCAACATGCCCCACGATACACAATTGGACAGCAAGCACTGCCAGTACGTGTACAAGGCGTGCCACCATGCCCGAGCAGTCAAGAAAGATGGTAGCTTACACCGCCTGTGTGCTTCTCACCGTGAAAAAGCCAACAAGCTGCAGAAAAGATATGCCACCAAGCGGCGGCAGGAGGCTCGGATCGAGCGGCGGAGGCAGTTTCAAGCCAAGAAACAACATGTGGCTACGAGTACTGCAGTGCCGGGCAAACACGAGTGGTGGATGGACTTGGAGTGGACGCTGGACGAGCTCGCGACGGACCTGATCGTGTTGTCTGACGAGGATATGGCGTTCTTGAGCCAGGCGTTTTGAATGTGTTTATACTAGTGTTGGCTGTAGGAATCATAATATATGTAAGTGGTATGGCGTTGGGGGGTGTAGTTTGTGTTGGCCAGCTTGGAATGATCTATGTAGCTCATCGTGGCTATGACAGCTCGCCCCAGTGACATTTATTCATACCGGTTTTTAAATGGCCTAAACATAAGTAGTACACTGTACTTGCACCCTGGGACTGCAAAGACATTCCCAGGCTATTGAACGACCTTGGGAAGGTGACATAAGATGCCAGCAACAAGATGGGTGGCTGTTGTATAGTCGCCGATGTGCAGATATCATACCTATGGGAAAAAGCTGCTTCCCACCGTAGTATGTAGGTCTTCTATGTGTACTGTACAGGTTGGATGTGTGCAAACATACCCTCTCCAACTACCCACGCACTTTGATTCTTAACTTCCTAGCTAGCATGCAGGTGTAGGTAGGTAGGTACAGTAGGTAGGTAGGTATAAATACATTATTTCTTTGTGTTTCGTCCATCGACCTAACAACAACTACTAATCTACATCTATAGCACAGCTTGGAGATACGCGTACTCTTCGTCAGACAACGAGTCGACGTCCGTGACGGCTACATCCAGTGGCTCTAAATCCATCAGAAACGTGTCCAGCGAGTGATGATGACAAGCAATGTCAGGGATGACGTCGGCGATGGTCAAGGATGGGACGACTGGCGTCGATCGGGGTTTCGGCACGTGCTGGAGGATCGCTGCCGGCTTGGCTGCTCCTTTGGACTTCATCGCATTGTGGCGCTTAGCAGCTCGCAGCTCACACCGCCGCTTGGTCGCGTATACCTTTTGCAAGGCGTTGGCTTTGGCTCGGTGGTGTTCACACAAGCGATGGAGTGACCCGTCGCGCTTGAATGTACGGAGGTTGGTGCACGTTTTGTACACGTATTTGCATGTGTGGTCAGTGGTGGCACTGGTTAACGAGGTGGTGCTGGTGCTGCTACGGGGGACGCTGGTGGTGGATGGTTGATGGGATGGCATCGTGGTGGCACGACGGGGGATAAAAGAGTGAATGGAAATCAATGAACAAACGTTGGAAAGTAGTGTTGTGTGTCTGGATCTGTGACATGCGACGCGATACAGTACGAAAACGCGAAGGGGATTGGGGAGGTATTCGTTTGTTTGGATAAAGTGAGGCCGTGGGTTAGGCTGGGGTCGACCGCGAGGTGGCTTTTACCTTGGTTAAAGGATTCCCTCGCTTCACAAAGCTACTCATTGCCTTCCTCGCGACCACATGGTGGGGCAAAGTGCTCAGGGCTGGGAGGAACGATCGCGGAAGGGACAACCCATTGGCCAACCATGATTTAAGAGCATTTGATTGGTCCATGCTGTGTCTGCAGTGTAGCCACATCTGGCCTTTCTTTGACTTGGGCTTTGTATGGTATAGTACAACGCTGACGAAATCAACGTGTGGCCAACCACGCGCCCGCCATTGGCTTGTTCTGTGGACAAGGTGCAAAGATTGGGATTTGAGGGATGATACATTGGAAAACCAGGCGATATATTACAGTACGTACCGACAAAACTGCATAGATACGATTCATTGACTTCGTTCTAGCGTCCAAAATGTATGCCGAGTACGGTGTAGTAAACTGTCTGTATACTACGGGCCATAGGCAAATGCTTAGTCTACGTAACATGATTGATAACTTACCTCATTCTACGTACGCCAAATTGTCTGTGCCGAGGTGACGATATGTGAATTCACAATTGAGATGCAACGTGGAAAAATCGTGGTTGTTGGCTGTATGGTACTTACTATTAATAGTACATAAGAATGGCGAGGTGGGTGTTTGCAGAACCAGTAGTAAGTAGAGTATGGTGTTGGGTCGAGAGGTACTGTATTTTCTTGGTCGTTTGGTTGTGGAGTATACATGTTCTTTGAAGTGTATCAGAGGTTGGGTTTTGAGGTTCGTAAACAAGTGTAGGGTACAAGTGTTCTAGCGGGAACTGACTGTGAGCCAACTGACCGTTATCAAGGGACATTTGAGAGCTGTTACGTCTCCACCAGTTGACACGTCGAAACGATATATTTGTGGCGACCGCGCTGTCGCAGGTGCTTGTCATCACACGTCATTCGGTATACAAGAACATCGGCACAGCATACAGTCCGCTCGCATGGAGGACCCTCCTCCACATTTGTCTTAGTCGACATGAAAATAATGATCGTGTAGGTTTTCACGCATGAGCCTCGCACAAACTGAAGCCTCAACTACAGCAAAAAAACTACATCCTAGTACAACGTCGTAAACTAACTGTAAGCCTGAATCATAACCTCAAGGTCAGCCATTATTCAATCGCTTTTTTGTGTAAACTTTGAGTTTACTACACAATGAGGAGGGGAACACGTATGGCTCCAGCCTCATCTTGGGTGAGGCAACCTCTTCGTCTACCGGTGGTCGAGATTCCATCACGTGCCGTCGGAGCTTACGCAGCGCATGGCGTCGCTTGGTAGCGTACACCTTTTGAAGTGCGTTTTGTTTTTGGCGTGGTGGAGCTCGCAGAGGCGATGGAGGGCGCGCTTGGCCGTCCGCATGTTGGGTTAGGGTTTGTACATATTTGCACTGCAGGGAGCTGAGAAGTTGGTTTGCTGGTATTTTTTTAACGGCAGCTGCCCTTGGAATCAAATATAATA